CCCTGCTCCCCCTCCTCCTCCCTGTCTCTTCTCAACTGTGTTTAAAAAGCTGAAGGCATTGTCATCATCCTAAACTCCTTTATCCATTGTTAATGGGCAAACCACTTAAATACACTGCAGCTACATAGAACTGATCCAACCCTCAAATCACAGCTGAACTTCTCACACTGAAATATGTGGTGGCTTGAATCAGCATTACCATACAAGGCATCTTTGAATTCCTCATGGTAACCTTTTATTACTGTTTTTAAGTTTCCCAAGCACTGCCAAATGCCTTGAACTTTGTGGAATGATTATAAACTTTATAAAGATAAACCTTTGATTCCACTTTAAAATTCTGTTTAAAAAATCCAAAAATTATATATGAACAGTGCACATATTTCCAAAATCAAAGATGCAGAATACTTAATTGAATATTCAACTCTAGAAAAGATTGTTGGCATCATCGGATAATTGATGAACAGGCATCACCACAACAGCTGTGCTGGTTTTCAGAAAGAAAAAAAAATTTATACAAACCAGAAACAATGCTTAGGCTAGAAATCTGGCTGGTGTCTGAGTTGTTTGCAGATTCCTAGGATATTTAGAAAGCTACCCCTTTAAAATCTCCCAAACATTTGTTAGAAACACTTCATAATGTAAGTATGTTTCTCTTGGCATCTCTGTAGAGCAGTTCTTGCCTTCAGCTCAAAATACAAGGGATTTTGTTGGGAAACAGAAAGGTTTTTGTCTTTAGCAGGTCAATACAGTGCTGCTACTGGCTGCGTGGTCCAGAAGCAATCCATGGTTGAGTAACTCCACGAAGAGAGAAGTTTCCCTCGAAGGAAGGCGGCAGCTTCTGGAAAATGCTAAAGCATATGGAAGAAATCTCGGTGAAAGGGCAAACAAGCAAGTAAACAAGCAAGCTAACAAAACCACTCTTTTATGTGGTCCTGGCTTAGTGATTTGATATAATATAGATGAAAGAGAAAAAGATATTTGCGAGAATGGCAGCATGGCACAGGGAATTCAAACTTAGAGGACTGGTTACCAGGGAACAGATGCCAGTCCCTTTGCATTCTATCTGGGTGACTTTGGCCAAACTTGTAAAAGGATATGTATAGTAAAAGTACTTAAACTCAAAGGACTGTTGTGAGGATAAAGTGATTATTTGCATACAAAGCAGCTAAAATTGTTACAAAAGAAACTTAAGGAAGTTTTGATAAAGGAAGAATAACTAAAAACGAAATTTATTTTCAAAAAGTTATGGCCAAATTTGTTTTCATGTGATGACTCTTAGTTCAACACACACACACACACACACACACACACACACACACACTCACAGGAAGTCATTCTATTTATTAACTCTTCCTTTGGTACTCTGGACAAAGGCTCTGTGGTTATCTTCCAAAGAACTTTTGAATGGACATAAGTAATGGGAATGCCTATTTTATCTTATGGGCAAAGAAGCAAGACTCATGCTCAGCTTCTGGAATGTGGCTTCTATGAGGCAGGGCCTTCACTTGCCATGCTTGCTGTTTTATGCTGGCTACACGTAGGGACAGAAGGGGATGCTTAATTATATTGACTGGCGATGAAAATTTCTCAGCAGTGCCTTACATCATAGATATTGCAAAACTTGATAAAGCAGTTCCTGAAGGAGAGTACTGGGTACCATGCATGTGGTGGAAAGCAGTGGGACACAGAAAGTCAGTTTAGAATGAAAGAACTAGATGTCGCCGTGGCCTTATGTTACCTTCAGCTCCTTTCCCACCCCGATTTCATATCCATTAGCAGGACCTTGGAATAAAGAAGGAGAAAATGTGTGTGGGGAAAAAAAAAGTAACATAGCAAACGCTTTTGTCAAACAGGGTTGCCAATAGTATCACTTACTCTCTTAAAATTCACTCTTATAATTGCTTAAAAATTAAATATATATATAAAATCATGAAATTGTGTCAATTGCAATGAAAAATTTATTTTTAAATTTTCTAAAAATTGTAAGAAATCACATAAATGATTCATTATGAAATTACTACGTTACAGACTTCAGGGTTAATCACTATTTTTATCTTTATTATTCTACTTATCACAATAGACTATTGTTTCCTTTCAGTATTTGTTATTATGAAGTATGTAACTGTGAACTTCTTCACTACAGCATAATAATTTATACCCACAGTATTTGGGACATTATGTGTAATTAATAAATTTCCTCCACCATCCTTAAATGAATACCTTTCATATCTTAGACCTTAGAGAATAAACAAAGCCTTGTATTCTCAATTCTTTCCCACTGAATTAATCAGCATTAAAGGTGTTTCTCACTCTGGCATCTGGAATGCTGAGGATTCCATTTGTTAGGCATCGGAATTCATGATGTGAAGACTTCCCAGGAAGGAAGAAAGGCTTTCCACTTGCTCCAGGACTGTGACCCTAACTGGAATACATTGTCCTGAAAATAGTGCTGTCTAGGTTTTCTGAACCTAAATTCTTATAAACATTCCTGATGTTCATACACTTTCAAGTAGAAGTTATATACTTTATCAGGACTGCACATATATTGCATATAAATTCTTTTTTTTTAGTACCAGGGATTGAACTCGGGTCCTTGCACTTGCGAGGCAGGCGCCAGAACCACTGAGCTAAATCCCCGGCCCTGCATATAAATTCTTAAGCAAGGGGAAAAGGGTACATTAGAAAAAGAACTAGAGGATAAAAATTAATATTTTAAATAATATATTTATATGAATATTATACATTTGCACAAGTAACATTTTATCACTTATAGAAAAAGTTCAGATGTTTTTCAGAAATCTTTCTGTATGAATGAAATAATCTTCTTCTATGGGTTAGAGATATTATATCTGAATAACAAATAGCCCTACAGTTCAGCATTGTGAAGCAAGCACTCATTTTGTTTATGGATTCTGTAGTTCTGGAGTTTGGACAAAATAATTTGAGATCAACTATTTCTGTTTATGTTTTGGGTTTCAACTTGACTGAAATTGTTTGAGGAATCATCCTTCTACCTCTCTGGCAGTTGATGCCGACCTTGGGCTGGGGTCTTTGCAGTTCTGCATGTACGTCTTTGCCTATGGTCTCTCTCCAGTGGGCGTCATTGAATTTCCTCCACAGAATGGTAACCGGGTTCCTAGGGCAGAGGTGTGGATGGCCTATGAACCCGGAGATTCTATTGCCTCTTATGACCTTGGCATTCTGTTTGTCCAAGCGGTAACGAAATTCCTTTAGGTTCAAGAGAAGTGAAGACAGAGTTCAGATGGTAAATGGCAAAGTTCGAAAAAATATGTGAGGTGAGAAGTATTTGTATGCCCATTTAAAAAAAGTGTAATGTACTCTGTAGGGATTGCTATTCCAGTTTTATAGAGAAAAGACTGAGGCACAGAGAACTTAAATGATTGTTCGCATCAATTTCATTCATAGAACACTTACAACAGTTTTTTAGTGTAATTTGTATTAGTACACATATGTGCAGCAAATACTAATTACCTGCATCATTGGGAGAAGGAACATATATGTAACGTGTCTTCGTTCTTTCTTTTCCCCTTCTCCTCTCCTCTCTCCCCCACCTCCATCTCATAGCCTTTTTAGCCCCCTTCTCTTTTGCAAAAGTTCTGCTTACACTTTGCTCAGATTTCTCAATTGTCAACGTTTGCCATACTCTTGCTGTCAGAATTTTTTGTTGGGACTTTTCCTACAACATCTGTGAATCAGTTCCAGATAGAATGCGCTTTACCCAAAAACACTTCAATATGCATTTCCTTTTTCTAGAAATATTCCTTTTCGTATCCATAGCAGGAGAGTAACATGCATACAATTATGTAAGGGATAGACTTTACTCTGAATCATAATTTAAATGAACATACTCTGGAATAGAATAAAACATTCTTCAGAATAAAGCAGCAGGTCAATATATTTCCTTTTATCCTTCCATAAAATGGAAGATGCTGATGTTAAAGGAGTTACTGCCCTCTAGTAGTTTCACGAAATTTTGAACTCAAGCTTTTAAAATATGAAGAAAATAATTAGAATTTTCTTGGCTTGGGTTTACTTCCATTAATAGTGCTTTTTGGTCAATATAATGGGAATAGAAGACTTCCACCCTTTCTGGGATCCACATGAAAGTTAACAATGTATCTGATAAGGCAATTCCTTGTGACATGTAAGAGTGTGGCTGAAGAATGTGATGAAAGAAATTAGGGCTAATGAAGCTAATGGTTGTAGAATGATTCTGTAGCTACTAAAGAAACTTCTAACCAGCAATTAGGCTGATTCAATATCACATACATGGATTTTGTTCCTTGTTATCCCTCTCTGGATTATTGTAAACATTTAATTCTTCTTTGATGAAGTTAATGAATAGAGGAAACCATAAGGTAATAATTAAGCAATATGTCAAGTTAAAAGAGAAAAGGGAGTAAGTAGATCTGGAGCAGTGATTAGAATAGTAAGCTAAAATGTAGAGATAAGAGTTTAGAAGAAAAGTTCAGAAGTTCAGAAAGGAAAAAGAAATGAAGAATAGAAAGATCGGGGAAAAAGGGTGAAGTCATATTTGATATGTTCTGGTCTACAGCACAGCTTGTGTATAACTGAAGTTAGGTGCGGCAGTTTGAGTTAATTTAAAAAGACAGCGTGGGGCTGGGGATTTAGCTCAGTGGTTCCGGCGCCTGCCTTGCAAGCACAAGGAACTGAGTTCGATCCCCAGTACCAAAACAAAACTAAAAAGACAGGGTGTGAGGGAGACACATAAATGATTTTTCTTGGTGGCTCAATAACATTCTAAGTGAAAACAATCTGACTTCAGGAGCTTAATTATTCCCCTAGAAGGGAGTGAACTATCAGAAAAGCAGATACTTAACACCAATTGCAGTGAAATGAGTGTATTGCTGGCGCCAATAAAGTGGATGTTATTAATTCTGTACTGTAGAGCTTTAATGGTCTCCAACTTTGTGCCTTCTATTGTGGAAGTGCCAGAATTGCTGGTGTAAGTTTTGATTCTTCTGAAAATAGAAAACACATTACATTTTTCTTTAATGTGATCTAGAGTCAAGAAGCAAGGAGGGTAATTGTGATCTAGAGTAAAGAAGAGAGGTTTTTTTTTTGTAAGCTAATAGGAGATGCTAATGTAATTTTTATCTATTGACTTCATCTCCATTTCCAGCCAGAAGTTTTCCCTGAGCATCACATCTCAGGGTTCAAAGTCTCAAAACCGTGGCAGTAACCCCTCCTATGAGAGCAGATGTCTCGGCATCACCCCACTGCAGGCTCATTTCCATCACCTTCTGTGAGAGAGAGGGCTTCATTACTTTCATATTCTTTTCACCTTCCTCCTTCCTTATGAGACTATGAATGTTGGAGAGCAAAGGCCTTTACTAATAAAAAGCTGAGAAGTGTGGTCCAGCAATCTGTACGCAACAGGCCCTCTGGGGGATTCTGATGAACACTAAAGTTTGCGATAACATTGAACTAAAACGGGGTGACACTACAGACAGGAAGACCTGAGAGGAGCTAACAAATGCCTGATAAGAAATGATAAGGTTATGAAATGACACTCTGGTTAGTAATGAAGAGGCACAGATTCTTGTGTTTCGGAGAGATAGATAAGTCAGTGTGGTAAGGGGATAAGGCCACCAGGGAATAAATTATCATTTTGGAGACAGGGAGGGAGGGGTGAGACATTTGATAGAGAAAGTAATGAAGGGATCCGATAAAAGAAATCAGATAATGGGAAGACCAAACAAACAAACAAACAATATATATGGTAACCATACACTTCAAACATGTCACTGGATCTCTTTCTCTGACTCCAGATTATTATGCGCTAGGTAAATGGATTCCCGCATAACAAAGCTATCATCACATGATGCCATTTCATTTCACAAGCAAACAAAACCTCTCAGCTTTAGAGCCATCCATCCACCCATACACATAAACTTTCTAGATCAGTGATGGCAAACCTTTCAGAGCTTTCAGTGGTATGACTGCGGCATACATGCCATAGGTTCACCACCACTCCTCTAGGTAAAGACTCCAACTCGGAACAATACTTACTGTAATTATCTCTGTTGTTTGTCCCCAACAGCTATTTTTCCTCTTCATATATCAGAAAATGAATTACGTGTCCAGCCCTTAGCCCTCAATCATATTTATTATGATTGGCTAAATCAACCATGGCAGCTCTTTCTTTTTGGCCTTAATAGAAATGAGCCTATGACTTAATTGTAGCCAATGAAATGGAAGGGTCGGTATGTCTGGGGTCTCCTGGGAAAGATTCCCTACCTGTTGAGAGTAAAACATGTATTTTGCCTCGACTTTGGGCAGTGCACTTAGCTATTTTGGTTGGAAAAAAAACAAACACTGGTTACAACCAGTACTAATACCTGATCTGCCAGCAGCAGAGACTATCACTGAGTACAAAATATAGCACCATTTCCTGGGGGTGATCAACCTGTGACCTGGTGGCAGGTTAATTATGCCTCAGTTCACAAACTCAATTGGTTCCACGATTCTGGGGAAGATGGCCATGTTCATGTTCATGTTCATGTTCATGTGGGAAAGATGACTGTGGTCATGTTCCTCACCTGATATGGAGTTCAGGAATGGAAGCAAAATTTTGCTGAATGCTTCTGTTTGTGAACCAAATTGTTCATGAACAGAAGGCATTTATGAACTGAAGTATTACTGCATACTGAACCATTTCCATCATGAAAAGGGGGAGTAACTTGTTCTGGCTGGCATACACATTTATCCCAGGTATAAATTTGCCTTCCCTGCACATAGTGCTTCTGGGAAAACTACCATCCATGGATTTACACAGTGCCTTGTCTATTGCCGTGGTATTCCACTCAGCATTGTTTCTGACCAAGGAATATGCTACAGGGCCAAAGAAGTGCTACAATGGGCTCATGCTCATGAAATTCACTGGCTTTACCGTGTTCCCCGTTACTGAGAAGAAGATAGATTGCTAGAATGGTGGAACTGCCTTTGGAAGATGCAGTGACAGGCCCAGCTAGGTGGTGATACCTTCATGGCTGGGGCAAGGTTCTCCAGAAGGTTGTATATCCTCTGAATCAGTGTCCAATATATGGTACTCTTTCTCCACTGGTCAAGATTCATGGGTCCAGGAATTAAAGTGTGGAAGTAGAAATATTACCACTCACCATTACCCTAGAATACAAGCAACCCATAGGACAGCAGAGAGATTAAAATGAACTTGTCCGAGTCAATTTTGGGTTAGCTTACATCTTATCTTTAAGCCACTCTTAGCTGTTTTCAGTTACCCTTTGCCAAAAGCCTTTCTGATTACTCACCTTTTTCTAGGAAACTATTGGGAGTAACTTTAGCATGAAATGTTTTCCAGATTTACAGTGGACATCTAAATTTTTCAGCCTCATTTAGAAACTTGATATCCATTCTGCAGTCTCATTTGACTTGCTACCTTCCTACATTAACTTTGCTTTCATTCATTCCCTGGTACCTGTGGGCAGGTGTCTTCCTTATTCTCCATTGTTATTTCCACTAATTCCTTTTTCTTTCCTAAACAATCATAGGTTTTTGTTGTGCAAGGTCTGAGACTTTACCAGCCATTTCTACCTTAGTTGCAATTTTAATATTCTGTTATTACTTCACATTGTTTGATACAATTATCTCCCAGCTCATTTTTTCATTTTCTGTTATTCTTGACCTCAATATAGTCCTTGGTGTTCACCCAATAGTTAGACCTGTCTCTTCTTAGCCTCCTCAAATCCAGCACTCTTGTCCTCTATCCTACTTAACTGTAACTGTGCGGAGGAAAGTAAATGGAACTTTGCCAGAAAGTGTCTATGTACTCTTAAACCCAGTCCTTTTTTGAATTATATCTTGGTGCTTCACAGTCAATATTTATAGAGAAATCAACTCCAACATATCTACATTCAATAATGACTGATTCCAGTACAGATAACTGGGAATGAGTTGCTTTTGCTATTATCTGAAGGTCAGGATATCCTGGGAGAAGTATAACTGAAGAAAAATCAATAGCAGCTTTTATAAATGTCAGCATAAAATGCCATTCAAAACAAATATAAAAGGTTAATGACATTTTGTTTTGAGTATTTCAAAATGCATTATGATCAAATAGAAGCTGCAATGACATCCATGAAGGACAAAAAAATTAGCCAAGGCTATTTATGTATCTGATAGATTTTTAAATATTCAATTAATCAAGTCACTGTTTTGTTTTTGAGTACCAGAGGTTGAATTCAGACTTGTGCTTATGAGACAGCCACAGTGCCACTGAGCCTGAGTCACAGTGTTTTAAAGGCTGTGTGCTCAAAACACCCACATCCTGCAGTGTAGTGGTTTACTTTCATATAGGTAAGCATTCAGTAAAATCACCAGTTATCATTGAGCACTTGAATTAGCAGAGGTCAGGAAGGGACAGAGCATATGTGGGAAGAATTTGTGGTACAGTGCCTTTTTATAGAGACAGTGATAGAGTCATGTTTTCTAAAGAATTAACTGAATACGCCGAGAAGACAAGTTCAGATATGCCAGGGCAACTGAGACAAAGGCTTAATGCTGATCTTGGGTGTTAGTGTGTCTTTGGTAACCATGGTGAACTTGGACAAGTCTAAACACTACATGCTGGAAATTGCTTAAGAGTGAGTCAATAATGAATCTCTTGCCTTTAGTAAAATTGGGTGGAAAGGTTTCAAAGTCAGATTTGGAAAATTATGCTTGAAGATTCAGTCACAAAGGTTCCAGCTAGAGTTGATTACAGAAAAATCCTCTCATTGAAGAGAGAGAGGGGGGAGAGAGGGAGAGAGAGAGAGAGAGAGAGAGAGAGAGAGAGAGAGAGCACAAAATTATAACTGTATCCACGAGTTAGGAGCAAAATTATTCTGGTTAGAGATGAACAAGTATGTGCAAATCTTGCAAAACCATGACTAATCATTCTAAAGTGGTCTGATTCTTCCAATAAGGAGAGTAATGTAGTACCTCAGTATACTTCAGCAACTGATCATGTGTCAAAATTTTTTGAACTCCCTGGGTCTCAGCAAAGAAGTTATCTCCTTTGTCTCTCCTCATCCAACATTTCTGCTCAGGTTATCATTACCATTCAAGGGACAAGAAAGTAAGTCATTCTTATACTTTTTATTCCCTGAGATGGTGGCTTCTATATAGAACGGAAAAGTGCATCTCTTTTCTTGCTCTTTGGGGCTATGGATGGCTGTGGGCTCTAGGATTTTTCTCCCTCCCAGTCCTATCTCCAATAGGCCCTTCTCTTGACTCTTTCTGACACATCCTGAAAAATTGTTTGTGATGAGTAAGTAAAGCTGCAAACTTATTCTACAAAGAGGTCAAGTTTCTGATTTCAGCTTCAGGGACCCCCAGACCCAGCCTGGTGAAAGTGTAAGCTTGGCTTTTGGAAAACAGAACTCACATGGGATCTTGATGAGGAAATTTTCCATTGATTTGTGGGAAATAATTAGAATGATTTATCTTCCTTTGGAAAAAGAATGCACAAACCCAGACAAAAACCTTTATTACTTTACTCTATTTTCCCATGGCCTCTGCAAAAGTAAATCATTATTTAGAATCAAGGACAGTGAAGAATATAAAATGATAGTAGTGAGGGAGGTATATCCTAAATCCTAGAAGAAAAATAAATCTTATAGAATTTAATAACCACCTTACTCATGTAAGACAAAATATTTGAAAGTCTGTTTTTTAAACCTTGATAAATAATAATGGCCACAGATCTCGAGAATCTCTTAATTATTAGGGGGGAAAGGTAGGCTGCTCAAACCAATGAGCAAAAAATACCTTTTACCATTTAAGATAAAGGCAAAAAAGTAAGCAAATATAGTAATATTTATATACATTGATATTTATGTCAGCATTTAAAATTCTTGCAGAACTAGGTACTTCTTCTGATATGATGGCACACATTCAAGCTCCAAAAAATAATTTTTTGAGGCTGGGGAAGGCACAGTGCAGAAGGAATTAAATATAGTATATGTACATGTGTGCATGTCTGTATAGAGGGGGTATAAAGAGGCACTATCTCACAGTATGAGCTAGAAAACACATAAAAAACTAACTTTTCCTGGTTTTGTATCAGAGAAAACTACAACACCAAGATAAAAATACTTCAGACAGGAGAGAAACACACACACACACGCGCGCATGCGCGCGTGCAAAATCCCCAAAAAACCAAGCAAAGGTCTACACTGTTTATTAAGATGAGAATCTACTACTATTCCTCACTTACTTCTTTTCTCACAAGATTACCATAAAATTTTTATAAAATTAAAACAGCTGCAAACTGAGTATAAGAATACTAGTGGTTAAATTCATCTAAGAAGATAAGGTATTTCCAAACTTCAATTAAAATGTTGTATTCTTTTCTTTGCAAGAGAAATTCCTGCATTACCTGAAAATAATTTAACTCACCTCTACTGTGTCATAAAACAACTCTTTATAATGAAAAATTGTTTCTGTTGCCCTGTCAGAAGCAGCCTTTATTTTTTGAGTAGTTTTTGTCCTAGAAGACACTGCCCCCTGCTGTAGAGGATGCTTTACTGCAGAAAGTATTTTTACTTAAAAAGAATGCACAAAGACACTATTTTGAATAATAAACATATCATTTATTCCACTTAACTTTCATAGTACATAGCTATGTGTGGAAGTATATAGGGAAAAAATAAGCATTAGAAACTCCCAAGGATGGAGGTATATTGTCAAAGGTATTTTATATATCTGTGAATTGGCTTAGAAGTATCATAAGACAATTTATTAGATAAGAATCATGCAAAAAATTTCATTCAAACCATGGCGGCAAGTGTGATAAGTACATGTTGTAGTTTCCTGGGTATAAAAACCAGACATATTCTTTGGATTAAAAATAATATGAGTTTGGTTATGTCTAGACAAAGTCTGTAAAAGTAAAAAGTATGGACATCATTATGCCACACGTGAGATTAAAATACTCAAGGCCACAGATGGAGATTACCAGCTTACAGTGAGACTAATAAGAGGTAGGGTAAGTAAAATAGAGAAACGCAATAAAGGAAATGCCACTGTTGCCTAAATGAGGAACTAGCTAATGCACAAGCATTAAAACAGCTTTAATACTACATTATAATTCTATATTCTCTGTTTAAAAGAATTCACTGTGTATCATTACAAAGCTCAGTGAACAAGATGAGGCAATAAATGTAAAGCGTGGCATTAGAGCAAATTTAATTCCATACATGAAAGAAGAACATAAAATTGGAAACCGCTCATCTTTCTATCGAAGACTCTAACTTTTGTTTTATATATACTGTGTTTGGCACCAGGGGTTAGGGATATGAAGGTTTATTAAACTCAAGCTTCCAATTCAAAGACTTCACATGTGGAAAGCCAAGGAAAGCTAGAGGTCATTACCATTTTTAAAATCAAATATTTAATGAAAGTTTTTGAAATTAAGATTGAAGAATCTAATGAAAGCAAAATCTTCTGGTTGCCTTTATAATATTCTTGCTTTTTATTTTCTTCAAATTGCATTTTACAGTAGAAATGCAGACCACTTTGGACAGGCGTGGCTCAAAACTGCTTGGTGCTCTCTCCTAAGACATCATCTTCTTACACTCCACTGAACAGAAAACCATCCCTTCTACAGGCATGAACTTCTGCCCGATGAGACACTTGCTGCAGCAGGAACACAAAAAGCACTCGGTGGATGCATGCCAGCTGAAGTTGTTGTACGTCACCCGCTGCACTTCTGGGTCAATGGCATTGTGGCATCCTTGACACACCTGCTCAGGAGTAACACAGGTAAGAGAAAAGGGTGGGAGATCAAACAGTGGCAGTAACATTTTTACCTTAAGACAAATTGAACAAGCTGCTTCAGATGGTCAATTAAAACAGAACGACACCTCAAAAACACACACATACTGAAAGAGACCACCCATCCTTTTAGCCAACAGCTGTTAAGGAGAGTCTGGATGCCAAGCACTGTGAGAAACAGCAGATAAAGCCCAAACAGGTAATTAAAGAAAGTCATAACAGCAAATTGTAAAGTAGTGCATTTGCTTTCAGCATATTCTACTAACTGGCATATTAGTGATTATAACGAAGTTTATTAGGTGATTTTTCCTCACTGATTATACCTTTGAACTGGTGATTTGTCTTAGCTATGACACATGAGATTATTAACACCACTAATTTCTAGACAGTAGTAAATTTAAATCATGTTCAACGTAATTAAGGACTCAATTAAAAATACTGACAGTGTTTGAGAATAAGTTTGCACTAAAAATGTATCTTGCAGTTAATTAGCTTCTGTTCTGTCATGAGATCAGTCATAATTTATGTATTATCTAATATTGTACAACATTAATACTTACATTCCCTGCCATTCACATAACACACACACATATATACATACACATAACATATATGAATTTTCTTAACGTGTATAAAAAATATTCTTCTATATTATAGCAGAAAATACAAATCTAACCCATTGAGACTTCCAAAACAAGAGCAGTCCTACATGCCTTCTTGTTTATATAAATACTGTATGTGAAAATCTAATTTAAAAAAATTATTTTATAACAAGTGAAATCAAGATTATTCGGTTTAAGAAGACAACAGCTAAACTTAAGTGACCTTGGTTCCTTACTCAGTAGGTAAACTGGCTTAGGATGGGAAGTGAGGCCTTGTTACACATGTCCATTGTAGACTTACATTATACTTGCTCTATTTTTAGTGCTACATGGTTTCCAATTACAGAAATTACAGTATCACTCTGTACTCTAAAAGTTACAGCCTTCCATGGGAAACAATGGAGAAACTACTTTTGGATAACTGAAAAACTATCCATGAATACCACAAAAATCTATACAACTACAAGCACACTCCTACTTTGTAGCTGTGTCATATAAACAACTGCTTTTGCATTTATTTTTAATAGCTTTACAATTCATTTCTAGTATTTTTTCTACATTTCATATTAAACTTTTAAAACTTCAAATGAAATAGAAGCATTTCATACCTAGTATTTTATTCCCTTGCTTTCAGACTATAATCTACTTTCCTTTTTTTCATTCTTGTAATACTATTTGTGGACTACTCTATTATTGACAATATACCATTATTTTCAACTCACAAAGAAAAGAGATAACTATCATTCACTTCCATGTGGAACTAAGAAACTGAGCAAAGAGCTGGGGATGTAGCTCAGCGGTGCTATGCCTGCCTAGCAAGTGCAAGGTCCTGAGTTTGATTCCCAGTACTGGGGGGTGGGGGGGACTAGGCAAAAAATAACTGATGAATATGTATTATAGAGAATTTAGGGTTTGTAGTTTTACAATATTTATATTTGCTAAAAATTTGATTGCTATTCACCTCTACCTAGGAAAAATCTTTAGATCCCTACTGCTTCAAATATATCAAAGCTGCCAAATGCAACAAGGGCCTGGGTACTGCAGAACCCTTTCTGCTTAGCACTAATATTCCTGTTCTTAAACCTTTCATACTTTAACAGTTATTTCCTTCAGTCTTCCTTGCTTTCATTTAACACAGGGTGTGACATCGCTAATGGCTTCTCTGGTAGGTGGATCTCATCCACGTGAATCTTGGGGTGGCCTTGGAATTCCAGTGATTGTGCAGAGAGGAACTAGGTGGATGTCCCATTTTCCTCTGTGCAGTTAATTTTTATCTCAGAAATGCTGTTTGGAGTTGAGCACTTTTGTTTATACCTAACGATAATTTATATTTTGTCTTTTTTTAAGATTAGGATCTAAGCAGATCAATGTTCTGAACTAGATAATCTTCAAAATGTTACATCATGTAGTATAATACGTGTATAGGAGTCTTTGCCATCCCATGGAAGATGGGCAGATATGCTCATTTTAACATAAGAAACAGGACAATGGTATTATCTTACTGAGAAAGTGAACCTTCTAGAAGAAATGATGCTGCATATAAAATTAAATAATTGAGAATTCTTTCATTTAAATTCTAGGGGGCTGGAGATTTGGCTCAGTGGTTCTGCAGCCTGCCTTGCAAGCTCAAGGGCCCAAATTCAATCCCTGGAACAAAAAAAAAAAAAAAAAAATTCTATCTGTGGTTATTTCCTTTTGGTGATAAGACAGTGTAATAGAGAGGAACTTGTAATAGCTGAATAAGCAGTTTCATCTGTTTAAACCTTTATTCAGTAAATGCTAACTGATCACCTACGGTATTGTTCTAGTGGTGGGAATATAACAGCAAGGCGGAGAAAATCCCTGGCTTCAGGGAGTTTACATTCGAGTCCGTGAGAACAAGGCTGCACATGTTAGGGTCTGGCTGGGCTTTGGGGGAGTGTCTGGATTGGATCGTGGAGCCCCTAGCTGATAATGACAATCCGATGGCCTTCTTGGGTGCTGGAAACAGAAGGTGGAACCTTAAGAAAGCAGGTCATGGGCAGGTGACTCTGGAGATTATCTGGTCTCCTGCCGTGCCTCTCAGGTTTTCCTTTTTCTTATCCACCATGCTTCTGCCTTACTCCACGCCTAAAAGCTATACATCCAAGGACTGACACCTCTGAAACTATGAATGAATATAAACTTTTCCTCCTCCAGGTTGACCTATGTCAGGTATTTTATCAAAGTGACAGAAGCTAACACAGAAAACTCGTATCACCAAGTGAGGCTGTTGCTGTGACTCTACCTGACCTCTGTAACTGTTTCTCTATCTGTGACTACAAAACCTGAAGGCTTCAGTAGTCTTTGGAACTCATTTGTGGGAGGAATTTAGAAAGGTTTGGAGAAGAGGGCTAGAAAAGCTCCAGAATGTTGTGAGTAGAGCTTAATAAGCAATCCTGGAGGGAGCTCCGAAAGTCAGAATGCTTATAGGAATGCAAAACAGTGAAGACTCTGCTCATGAGATTTCAAATGGGAATGAGGTGCCCATGGAGAAGTAGACTAAGGATCCTTCATCGTGCCTTCTAGCAAAAAAACTTGTCTGCATTTTGTCCACACCCTGAAACTTTGTGGGAGGATGAATTTAAAAGTGACAGACTACTTAATCTGGTGGAGGAACTCTCAAGGCAGCATAGGATTCAGGCAGTGGTATGGGTATTGCTGGCTGTGTTTAGCCACATTTACAGTAAGAAGTGGGAACAAAAAGCAGTGTGGAAAGATAAAAAAAACCTGCTGCTTGATCAGAAAGGCACTAAAGTTGCTGAAGAGAGAAGTGCCATTAAACATAAGCAAAAGTACTTGGTACTGGGACAACAGAAAGATGCCGTGGTCACACACTGTAGACCACAGGCTGTTGGGTGTAAATGTGCAAATTCCCTAGAAAGATATTGCTTCCAGAAGACAGTACTCCTGGGCACCTTGCTGCACAAGGCCACCTAGTAAGTTGTTTTCCCAGGATTAATTTCACTGAGCTCAGCTGTCCAAGCAGTCAGAGGTCACTGCAGCTATGGTCTAAAGAGGGCTGGCTACGGCTGGCACTGGCAGCAGACTATGGCATGTTACACGATGCTAGTTTTGTAGGCAAGCAGCATGTACAAGTTACAGAGTCATGGAGGCTTCCACTGATTTCAAAGAAAGGCCTGGGAGGCTCTGACTCTATGTGAGGGTCAGAATCCTTGCACCCAGGTAGCCCTTGAAAGGGTATGTAGTTGTGTGAGTGAACCAAAAGCTATAATAGGGAACCCAGCAACTTGGAGATGCCAGAAATATGGAAAACTGAAGGTAGTAAGTTAAGCCAGCCTAAGAGTGAGGCCATATAGGCTGCAAGTGGCAAGGATATAGGGACAGGCTTTTGAAGCTCAAATCATGGCGCCATATGCCCTGGACACTGGACACGAGCTATAGGATTTAATATTTGCCTGAGGGTTCTAGGTCTTGTTTGGTCCAATTTCTTCTCCCTATGCCCTTATTCCTCCCTTTTGGAGGGGGAATGTTTACCTTGTACCATTTTATGTTGGAAGTATGTAACTGTTTTTTACTTTTAAGGGGACTCCCAACTAGGAGTTTGCCTTGAGTCTTAGATGAGACTTTGGATTTGAACTTTTGAACAATGCTGGAACTGCTAAGACTCTGTTGACTTCTTGAGATGGACGGAGTGCATTTTGCAGTATAAGATGGACCTCTGGCCTCTGAGACCAGGGGTGAAATATTATGGTTTGGATCTGTCCCCTGAGTGCCACCTGACGGGCTTTGGGGAAGTGATTAGATCATGAAGCTTCTACCTTCGTCAGTAGATTCATTCACTTCTCTGGGCCCAACCCTGGGGTTTACATATGTTCTCCAGCCCTATTCTCTTAGGCTCATTCCCTTCCTGTTTGCTTCCTCAAGGCTATGAGGTGAGAAGCCTTCCTCCGCCATGCCATCTGCACCACGCTTCTGCTTCAGCACAGGCCCGTTACGTCAGCTGGCCAAAGACTGAAACACCTGCAACTATGAGGAATATATCGTTTTTTCTCTCTGTCAGTGATGGCGAACCTTTTAGAGACCGAGTGCTCAAACTACAACCCAAAACCCACTTATCTGTCGCAAATGCCAACACTACAAATAAACCTCAATACTGAGATTTCAGTTTAGAAAAAACAGCTCCTACAATTTGTGATGTAATCGCAGCGTTCACCACCACTGATCCACGCTGATTTATTTTGTCACAGTGATGGCAAGTAAACCATCACACAAAAAAACACAAATTAGGACCTTTCTTCCATAAACAGTTGCAACAATATTTACAGAGGATGATTTTAGATAAATAAGCCACAGAGTAATTTAACATCTTTTTTTATCTTTTTTTTCCTGATAATAGGAAAGTCCATAATGATCCTGAGTAAATTGAGAAATATGAGAAAACAAGTCAGCTACTTAAACATTTCCCAACATTAGACACTGAAGAAATAAAAGGAGAAACTCTACTATCCAGCTGCTTACAAAGTCTAGGGAAGGAGACAGGTGAGTGACATTAATCTCACACATATACACCCCATCCTCTGAGAGCGTGGAGAACTAGCCAGAGACAAAGGACTGGAGCTTGGGAATTGGGAAGCAGGACAAGTGTAGTTTGGAGGAATGTGTGGGAACAGTCAAGTAAAACAAGGAATAGGAGGTAACAGACACACAAGTTAGGGTAAGCAAAAGACAAATGACAGTGTACAGGCCAGGTGTGGTGGTGCACACCGGTAATCCTAATGCTTGGGAGGCTGAGGCAGAAGGATCGTCATGAGTGGGAGGCCAGCCTGGGCAATACAGGAAGACCTTGTCGTTAAAAAACAACAATGTATAAACTTCAAACAGCAGGTAATAAATGGAAACGTATAACCTAGGTTAGGTAAATAATAAAGTGATAGTAAAGGAAAGAAGGGACCAGATTAAAAAAAAGGCTTAGTGATTACATTTGCATTAGGAAGATTATCTATCTCCAAACATTACGGAAGGTGGCTTTTCAGCAAAATGAATAACGGAAGGGATGGGGAACAGATTTGAGATCAGTAACTTAATTAAACTGACAGAAGACAAAGGTCTGAAATAGGACAGTTGTAACTGTGAGGATCTGCATTATTCTGATGAGGTGGAGTTGTGGAGTTGTTAGAAAATGAAGGACTGTATCTGGGGCAATAGGTGAAGGCTAAAAATTGGTACTAATATCAAAACTTGTTTATTTTCATATCACCATACTCACAGTTCTACATAAATACATACTTTTCTTCATTAGCCAGGAGTCTTGTCTACTTGATAGTTCATAAAAACAGTAAAGGTCTATCCTTCTTGTATTCCTGGCTTCTGAGCCCCACCATATAAAGTGAGCTTTTTACCTATTATCTATATTTCCTATCTATTGGCCATCATGCACCAGCAGCTCTAAGAATAGTAGATGCAAGAAAAACTACACACTCACATTTATTAACTCACTGAGGGTTAAGTCCACACAAATAAATCTAAATGTGCAGGCCAAATTTAGTCATACTAAATCTGTTCAATAGGATTTAAAAAATAGGCACTGTACAATCTCCAGGTGGCAAAAACAAAATCCTAGTGGGTGGTCCACACACGTTCAAATACAGCTGGACATGAATCATCCCTCAAAACACTTAAATGGAATCTGATTTGTACCCATGAAAATAAATCAATCTCATTCTCATTAAGGATTTTTTTTTAAGTGATGGCTTTCATATCAAGCAGCACTTATAATCCATCCTGTAAACACACAAGCAAAATGAGCCATCTAGAGGTGGCTTGGAATCAATACATGCACTGTTTTTTAATTGCATGGATTTTAATCCTATGATTGGCACTGAATGCTTTCTCCTCAATAGGACTGCTTTCTGCTTCTCATTTGGAAGACTATTAAAGAAAAGCATAAGCTCAAATCACGAAGCAGGTGCAGGTGATCTTGTCTCTACAGTGTCTCTCACCACAGCATGATTCTTCACATAGCAGGGCTTGCACACAGGCTTCTCATTGACCATCACATAAATTTCCCCGGCTAGGATGTTGTCACAGTCAAAGCAGCAAAAATGTTTCAGGTGCCAATTCTGGTTTTCTGCCTGGGTGTACTCATTGCTAAATATCAGCTGGAAAGAGAATAAAAATAAGATGAACCAGGCATTTTTTTTCACTGTGCTACAGATGACAAAGTTAGGTTGTTTAGACAACAAGACACCGAGATCTACAGGCAGATCAAATATTTTCTTGGAATTTAACGTATGAAAATTAACATAAAGCTTGAATGTGTTATCATTTAGTACAAATCAATCCTTTGTATCTCACAAAAGTAACATCTAGAATGAATGAAAGCAGTTTTCTTCGATTAACCTTCTTTGGATGTAAACAAACCAACTTATGCTCACTGAATTCCTCCTGCCCCCCGGGTAAGGGGTGGTAAAGCCTGCGTGTGTGGGTGGCCCCCCAAGAACAAACCTCATCACAACCAGCACATCGGGGTTTCTCACTGTCACAGTAATGCCTGCCACAGTATAGCTTCCCATTCTTCCAGAAATAAATCATGTCAACCAGGAGTTCACCACAGGAGCTGCAGACGAAGCAGGCTGGATGCCACAGTTTCTTGTAGCCAGCCCTTTCTGCATAGATGGCTGGGTCCCCTTCTTTCATACTCAATTTGCAGCAATAGCAGGACTGAAAGGGAAGCATCCAAAACAATCTGGTCACCAGAAGACCGGCATTCTCATTGTCAGCCTCAGCAGCAACTCACGGCAACAAATGTATAACAGGTTCATGAGAAATAATTTCTACTGAAATCACTGATTTGCCCATCTAGATAATATGGCATTAATACTTTTGTAAAATGGAATCTCTTAGCTTTCTTGAAACTGTCCAAACCTACTTCACCCTATATATAACAGCACTGTTTCTTCAAGTGAAGTCACTGACAGAGGTAGAAATTTGCACTTCAATTTTATGAGTTCTTTCAAAACTTACTACTCTAGGCTAAACCTTAATGGTTGATGTGCTGATTGCATTAATGAGAATATATTACAGTGAGTTTAGTTCATTTGTGTCATGGTTATCTACCTTTAGATCATTAGAAAATGACTTCAACTTCCCTCTCTAGAAGAAACATACACACAAAACAGATGTTTGCCAATATAGCTACATAAACTTAAGCCTGAATTTTAGGCATAGTCTCACAAACAAAACTGAATTAAACTAAGCATATATTATTCTTGTTTATAGGACGAGACAAGCAGTTAACAGGAAAATTATGGTAGGAAATAGATTCTAGATTAGTATGCTGTATTAAAGCAGGATGGCAACACCAACTACTATGCATACAGAAAACTCACAATTATCTCTGGCAATATATAATCAGAAAATTGGGCTTTAGACATTAGCTTCACACATAATGACTCTCTAACCTGAATTTTCATTCAATTTCTGTCCTGTACTTATTCCTTTTGGAAACAGAAGAATGACCCCAAAAAGTTCTAAGGAAGGGAAAGAGCCCATGAAATATACAAATTGGACCAATAATAGGATCAGTCTACTCACATATTGGGGTTGTTTGGATTCAGCAGATTTGTCCTCCATGCCCTCCTCTGGCACTGGGGTGTTTCTGTCTCCACCAGGGATGTACATCTTGTTGGTGCCTTGAGTGTCCATCTCACAGGGAAGTTTTACATCTCCGACTCCCAGAGCCTCATTCTTATACTTCTTTACAAACTGCTCCATCTCCTTCACCTCTTTGGGAGACAACTCATGGCACTTGGAAGGGTCCTGGTCGTGTGCAGGTAGCTGCTTAGCCAGCTGCTTCTTCCGGTACTGTGCCCCCTCCGAACCTGCCACTGGCTGTTTCTCCTTGGGCAACATCTGCATGTACTGCCTGGCCTGCAGCACAGGGATAGACAACTGTTAGCTAGAAGAAGTACTAGCCAGCAGGCACTGCAATTTTTTTATAACATAATCATAAGCAGGTTACTTAAGAGAAAAGTGGATTCTATCCATTAGTAGCAATTCATTTTCCTACTGTACATATCTTGAGATGATAATATATTAGATATCGGTAAACTAGAGATAGGTGGGTAATAAACACATTGTTCTCGGTGAAAGTAATGTGTTTTTTTTTTCAGTTTATGAAAAGACTAATTACTTCTATTTACTTGTGCTCAATAAACAAATATATTATTGAAAAAGAACGTACATTTTTAGGCACATGCTTACAATGGCTTATGGTATAGCAGCACTTTCATTGTATGAAAAATATCACAAGATTCACTTAAATGACCTGTTTTCCAGAAGACTTTTTTTTTCACATATGTCATCTAGTTGTCCTAACAGTAGAAGGAACTCAACTCAAACTTTTTGCCTTTCACAGTAAAAAAATACAATTTTGAATATTTTTGTTCAGCAAAATATGGCAGAAATTCTATTCCTTATTCTATACCATCTTAAGAGAAATCTTCTCAAGAGAAAACTAGAAGAGTTACAGATTGATATAAAACAGGGAACTTTTGTGTACTTAGTAAGCAAGCATGTTAGATCATTCCCTAAAAACCATCTAGGGAATCAGGAAAATTCTGTGAGGCTATTTTCTAGTCTTACTTTTAAAAGACTGTAATAGGAGCCAGAGTCAAAGTGATGGGACCTATACCCCTAATAACGGATGTAAGGTGTCTAAGGTTGATTGTTGCTAAAGGAGTTGTCCTAAATAAACAGTGCAGGATAGGAGACTTCTTTTCTCTGTTATTTACCAGTGTCTGGTTCTGGACAGGAGGAGCCCACTCATAGGTAATGGTGTTGATAGAAACATTCTTCTTGGCAGCAACCGGATTAGTCAGTATCATAACATTGCGTTTGTACATGGGAATTCCATCTGACTTTAGCTTTGCAATCAGGGTGGTATACTTGGTGTCTTCAAAAAGTTTCCCCACTTTGCGGTCCTCTTCATTGCTCAAGAGGACATCATGCTCTTCTTGGCCACACTTGCAGTTACGGCATATTTTTCTATAATTTAGGAAACATAAGTAAGAAGTGGTTAACTACATCTAACCAGTAACAAGTATGAGCACATATTTATAGTTCATAAAATACTTTTAAACATATATAATGGTATGCAAAGGCAAGTCTTTTGTGAGGGAAGGACGAGTATCCACAAATTTAAGAAAGAAGAAAATAAAAAAATATATGTTTTGTAAGACTTTGAAAAGTTAGAGTGTGATTAAAAAGCACATGCTCAAGGGAGCATGTCTGAAGCTAACTCCATCTGGTATTACTCTTGCACCAAAATAAACAAATAAAAACACAAAAAGTTATCATAGCAAGAGACTTCCTATTTTATTGCATGTTAATGTTTCCTTGCCTTTCCTCCAAAGAAATTGTAAGTGAAAGGTAGACTGCTATCACTTTTCACTAATATTCTTATTTCCTTTTCATTCCCGATTCCAATTTCTTTTCCTTTCCTCTCTCCTCCTGTCCCCTTCTAGTGCTTCCTTTTTCCTTCCCCTTGCTTTCTTTCTTGTTTTTCTCACTGCCTAACACCTACCACATACTCCACTACATATAAATAGACAAATGACAACAGTGTTTGCCACCATGGCAAGGGCATCTCTTCCTTTTCCCAATCTGTCTAGGACCGGATCTGTAGAAAATCGGACATTCACTCACAGAACCTACATGCATGCCCACGTGCCAAGTCATGTGCTTGATACTAGGATAGAGGTGAAAAATTGACAGTGCATAATTTTTACTTGAACCTGGTGAGAAATGCTTCCATAAGGAAGTGACATTTGGGTCTAGGATGTGGAAAATATAGTGTATGTTGTGCATAGAGAATGAGAAAGAAAGGAGAAGAAAAGCTTGCTAACATTCTGGGTAGAAAGAAGAGTAATCTGTAAGGGTCCTGAAAAAGGGAACTAGCAAAGCCTAGTATGACTGTAATGAAGAAAATAAATGGAATGATCAAAACCCTAGAGAAAAAGGCAGGCATGAGACCATGCAAAGACTTAAGGGGACACATTATAGAATTTGGCCTTCATTGTAACAGCAGTCAGGAGGCACGGAAGGGCTTTAGACAATGCAATAACACTATCAGATCTATGATTTTAAATATCACAAACTCTTCCCTGTGGAGAATTGAGGGTAGAATATATTTGGAAGTAACGTGTTAACTGTGCATTCAATTTGCGAAGGGATGGTTCCTAGTAACAGGAATACTGTGGCTATTTCATAAATGGAAGTTCCATGTTAGATGGTTATCGTGGTCTAGGCAAGATGTGCCATAGCTTGGACTAAGGTTTTATCAATGGTGATGAAAAGAAAAAGATTTCAGCTATCCTTGAGTATAAAAATTACTAAACTTTGGATGCCGTGTTGGGTTCTCAAAAAAAAAAAAAAAAATGAAAACAAGTTCTGGGGATTAGAAAGTAAGTTGGTAGGAATAATGTTTAATGCATTAAGATAATTCATACAAAAGATAGATTTGAGGTAACAAAACAAAACAGAAGGTTGAAGAAAGTCTTTAAACTAGACAAGTATGAAATGCCGGTGAGGCCAGGTTAAAAATATCAAGTAGATAGTAGGACATGTAAGTCTAGTGTTAAAAACTAGCCTGGTAGAAAAACACATTTGGGTCTCGGGGTACAACATATAATGTAATGTACATGAGATGAAAAGACCACCTTCACCTCCTACAGAAAGTGTAGAGGGAAAAAGTAAGGCCTCATGCAGTATCTGCCAAAGGCTGGGAAAAGTGACAGAGCAAGGGAGAAAAGCAGAAATACTGTGGTATCAGAAATTTAAGCTGGATCTGAAACACAGAACAACAGACACAGTGTTTTAAAGATGTTACATTGCTCAGGAAGAGACTAATGGTGTAAACTAATGTCAGATGTTAGGGTTAAGTTTGCATACTAAAATACCTAGGTAACTAAACAAAAGAACTTTATACTTAAATGCTCAAAATGGGAAAGGAGGAAGTAAAAATTATTAAGCAAAGTACTCAAGTGAGGAAGGTGGGAAAATGGTAGAATTACCCTAAAGTACAAGGAAGGAAAATAAGAGTAGGAGCAGAAACTAATAAAGTGAATGTCTGCCATTCATTACATGCAGAAATGGCACTGGAAACATTTCAACATCTCTCATGTTAACAGTTTGTTTATTAACTTCATTGAAAGAACTAGTAGGATTCTAGTGTTTCTGGCAAAAAACAAAGCAAAAATCAAATATGAGGCATACATTAAACTTAGTGCATTCAAAGACTGTAAAAAAGAAAGTAACTTGACATAGCCAACTCCATTCCATCCATATCATCCTGAAGGTATTGTTCAGATCAGTGAGAAAAATTAAAAATAGGGAATTATAAGGATTCATCAGAAAGGAACTAAACTGTTATTCACAGATGCTATGGCTGATCATACAGAAGTGCAATGTACTAGCATTAACAAGAGTTTACACTTCCTGCTTCTCAAGCACAAGATCCCGAGACCGATCCCCAGTACCACAAAAAAAAAAAACAAAACAAAAGAGTTTAACCTGGTGTGGTAGTGCAGGCCTATACTATAAATCCCAACACTCAAGAAGGCTAAGGCAGGAGGAGGCCCGCCCTGGGCAACTCAGTAACACCCTGTCTAACATTAAAAACAAATCTGAAAACTTAAATGAATCTCTGTTAAGTAATAAATCAACAAACAATTATATATTCTTGTGTCTTGAACTTTCTTAAATCTCTTTTCAATGCATGAATTCAAATATTAGATCTGACTTATACAGAAAAAGGAGAGGGAGGGGAGAAAGAGACAGAAGGGGTAGGAGAGGTATAAGTAGACAGACATGAGGGTATAGAGGCAAATTCCTTTCCTTGTGCACACACTGGTGAGAAATCTTTATTTGGTAAAATTTTGTTGAGTTAGTATATTTTAGTACAGCTATAAAAAAGATTCTTTCTTACATTGGTTATCTCATACTCTCATCTAGTGGAAAGGAGCATATTATCCTACAACAGTATGATGTTTGTTATCATTCCTCAGTTACCAAAAACAATAACAATATTTATAGAAGTATCACACTGTTTTTGGATCACATTTAAAATGACTTGAGAAGGAAAGAGGTAAGGTGGGAACTTAGTTCGTAATGCAGTAAATAGTTCTTTATGTGGCTGTGGACTATGGCGTGCATCCCATTGAGCAAAGTGATCCCTAAAGGATCAAGGATATGTGAATACTGGACTTGGGACATGTTCATGATCTAGTTCATACAACTAGATGTACAAATAAAACACCTGTGATGCAAAGTAAGGAACTGGGTTTTAGAATTTTTTAAATGACCAGTAAAAGATACAGTAAGCAAAACAAAGCCTAATGATGAGCTGGGTATGGTGGCACAGGCCTGTAATCTCAGCACTCAGGAAGTTGTGGCAGGAGGATCACTGTGAGTTCGAAACCAGCATGGGCTACATAGTGAGTTTCAGGTCAGTCTCAACTACACTGTGAGACCCTGACTCAAAAAGGAAAATAAAACAAAAACAAAAACAACAACAACAAAAAAAACAAAGCTTAATGGCTTCTAGAATGAGCTATTACAAACTGTAGCAGGGTTAAATACACTACATTTACTGTGAAAGTGCTACATGTGAAGGTTTTATTCACCAATGATCTCATACCCATCTCTAAAACTGTTTTATTATTTGTCGTGGAATTTGTCTCCCAGAAGGACTCACGTTCTGAGGAAGCCTGTTTTGTTTTCCATCCCTTCACCCACCCAGCATACATTTATTAAGCAAATAAAATCAGATTAAAGCAACACACCAACAGCAGTGGTGACGAGAAAAAGATGTAGCTTAAAACGTCATGCTATGCCTAATTATCAATTTTCTGAGCAGGGAGAACCTGGGGTTGGCTCACTGTCCACTTTAAATCCAGCCTGCCATGTAACCACGTGTCCTCACCAGAATCTGGTGAGGCTGGGACAGTCCTCCGAGCTGGAACTGGTGTCACTGAAGCATCTGGAAGGGTCACATCTCTCCCCCTCCCTACACTGTGGCTCCCCTGCTACAATGAAAGGAGCCAGCCCCAAACCTCTACTTCTATAGTTTAAAAGAAGAAAAACCCTTTCTTGTGGTTTTAGACTGCCGCATCTTCTATGTGGGAAAAAGACAGGGATTCAGAAGTAAGTTAGTTTAAAACAGCCTTTTTTGACTCTTCAAAAAGATGTAGAGGGGGCTGGGATTTAGCTCAGTGGTTCTGCTGCCTGCTTCGCAAGCACAAGGTACGGAGTTCAATCCCTGATACAAAAAAAAAAAAAAAAAAAAAAAAAAAAAAAAAAAGACGTAGAGGTACACGGGAGCTCTGAGGTGTGGGTGTAGTAAAGTTATTTGTACAAAAATAGCTTAGCAAAATGTAAAAATGGAAACAAAGTCTTTGTAAATAGGAAGGAATGGAAGGGTTGACAGGAGGGCAGGGGAATGGGGAAAAAGTAAGAACCAAGATGAATCATGTAAAGGTGCAAATTTCCAATGATGAATGTCATTATGTGTACCTAAAATGTACCAATAAAATTAATTAAAAAATAACTTAGCACTTAATACACAAACATATGCAAACATTATTATGCATGACAAGTCAAAACTCTACATTCAAACAGTGAGTTAAAGCCAAGGGAGGGAGAACTAAAGTACTAAAAGTATTGCCACAGGAAAACAAGAGAAGTTTCAGGCTTAAAGTAGTCAAGATCAATCCTTCGGCTTCCCAAAAGGGAAGTGTTTTTTATATCCCTATTCATGAAAATTATTATTTTTCACAGCAAGTAGCAGAAAGCAGTGTGCTTGACATGCTGCCAGCATTTAGTGATTTAAAGGCAAGGTCATGGCACTGGTACAAAACATAATTTAAAAGGGCTGGAAGCTGCCCCCTTGTAACAGGGATATACTTATATGGACTGGAGTGTGGGCCTCTGTTACAGAATTCAACACCAGCATTCATCCATTTATGGTAGAGAATTGTTCGTTTTTA